TAAGATACCCTGTAAAAAAAGAAGTATTGAGTGGAGCGTTTAGGAATTGAGTGAAGCTCTGAGCCAATACGGATTCGAGTAAAAACCGTATTGGGACGTTTGACTCAATCTTTTTTTCATCCGCCGAATACGGTCTTATTTTAGCATTAAAATTAAAATCACATCAGCAGAGTACACATTATAAATTGAAAGCACAATTGTCCTGGAATGTAAAAATGCCGATTTCGATAAGAAACCGTGAATATTTGTTAAAAATTGGTAAAAGCAAAGTTTGACAAGCGCGACTGAATTTACCATGTGAATAAATGAAGTGGTAAGTTTAAATGGACTAAAAGAAATCTGCTGTTACCGACAGAAAGTTCCTAGAGAATTGTAAAACAATGAAATTTCATTGTTTTGTTGAATTTACCACAATTCTCTAGGAACTTTCTGTGGGTAAAAGTAGATTTCTTTTAGTCCATTTAAACTTACCACTTCATTTATTCACATGGTAAATTCAGTCGCGCTTATCAAACTTTGCTTTTACCAACTTTTAACAAATATTCACTGTTTCTTATCGAAATCGGCATTTTCACATTCCAGGACAATTGTGCTTTCAATTTATAATGTGTACGCTGCTCATGTGATTTTAATTTTAATGCTAAAATAAGACCGTATTCGGCGGATGAAAAAAAGATTGAGTCAAACGTCCCAATACGGTTTTTACTCGAATCCGTATTGGCTCAGAGCTTCACTCAATTCCTAAACGCTCCACTCAATACTTCTTTTTTTACTGGGTAAAGAATTAAATGCTAATGCACATATATATTAGGTGAAATTAAGATTATAAAATGTTTATAAACTTGTTTATAATCGAATTAAAATATTAACATACTAATAAAACTAAACTTTCTGTCTAAGATTCACCAATTATAAATATAATTTATGGACTTATATATTATTAATAAAACACGAGTCAAAAGTAAACCGGCGACGCGACGCGCTATTCAGACTTTTCACGTTTGCAAATTGCGTCCCTTGTGACGTCACAATCAACTTTTTCAGCCTCGCCAGACTTACAGTCAGCTGTTAGCGTACCTTATTAGAAGTTAATTTCATCCAACTTTTTATTAATACCATTGGATCTGAAATTAAGTCCGGTGTATTACAAATAAATTACAAACTGAGTTTTATTTAAGTAAGAGTACAACTAACTTTAATTTTCAGTTAGTTTTTATGATTAAATAAAGTTGATAGCTTTTAAGATAAGTCAAAAATTAAAACTAGCCACCATTAAATTTAAGACTTTGTTTTTACTGTGCAAAAATTATTTATAATTTTTTTATGAAATATACAATTTATGTATTTGATACATAAATTTTTGTTTACATCAAAATTGAGATCATATTGAATGTTCTCTACGATATTCAAAGATTCTAAAGTTTTACATTTTGATTCATTTTTTCAGTAAAGCACCAGAAAAAAACATTAAGCTTTTAGGTTAACTGTCAATCCCTATAAGTCTGGATTACTCGCGCTTTAAATTCTCTGACGGTAATGCAGAACCGCTAACAGCTTTTGCTCCCGCTGTATCAGAGAACGAGCTTGTGCATCGACCAATGCACAAATCTTCGACTTTCTGCTGCGAAATCGAAGCAGAAAATACGTACTTTCGACCGAGGTATGAAGAAATAGTATATTACATTATAAGGGCAGAAAGTTCGAAATTCCTGCACTGCGCGAAATGATGCCCGAGGCGAAGCCGAGGGCATTATCGCGTAGTATAGGGCTTTCGAATTTCTGCCCGTGTAATGTATACTATTTTTCTTTATATACGGTCGAAAGTACGCTGGGTAATTTATTTTTTAAGAAAATTGCAATCGAGTTTCATTTGACAGCCGGCCATCTTTATTTACTTTTGCTCCTCGCTTCAACGCCTCTAGCGGACACTCGTGAAGCTCTGGTTTTTTCTCTGTCTCTCTCTTGCAAACAATATTCGCCTGCCCCGACATTTGATGCACGAGCGAAGTGAGTGCTTCTGGTCGGGGGCAGGCACGAAAAAAAATGTGAAAGATAAATTAATATTATATATTTTGAAAAGAATTTTTCTGGTGGTACAAAATTAATTCTATGTTTCTAAAATTCTAAACATTCTAATGAAAACACTTTCATTATTTCTTAAAATTATTACAATTTTATAATAACATTTTGGCACGTATTAAAATAGAAATTACAAAATTATTAATTATTTTATTTTTGATTTTAATGTTTATTAAAATAATTTTTGAAAATAATTATATCAGCAAAAGATTTCGTTCATTTCAATATTCAGAGCTTGTGGATAATAAATTTATAAAGTATAAAAATTTTTCTTGATAATTTTTTTTCTCATTTTATATTGCGATAACAATAATTACTCGTTCATTGAACTTAAAATTTTCTTATTTACCGACAGTGGTGTTTTTACCGACAGAGAATTCTTTTACTCCCGATGTAATAGAGGTTGGGTATGAAAATCAACCAAAGCACAAATGTTTGACTTTCTGCTGCGAAATCGCAGCGGGAAATACCTACGTACTTTCGACCGAGGTATGAAGAAAAATTATTTTTCTTCATACCTTGGTCGAAAGTACGTATTTCCCGCTGCGATTTCGCAGCAGAAAGTCAAACATTTGTGCTTTGGTTGATTTTCATACCCAACCTCTATTACAGCGGGAGTAAAAGAATTCTCTGTCGGTAAAAACACCACTGTCGGTAAATAAGAAAATTTTGAGTTCAATGACAATTTAACGAGTAATTGTTAACGCAATATAAAATGAGAAAAAAAATTATCAAGAAAACTTTTTATACTTTATAAATTTATTATCCACAAGCTCTGAATATTGAAATGAACGAAATCTTTTGCTGATATAATTATTTTCAAAAATTATTTTAATAAACATTAAAAACAAAAATAACATAATTAATAATTTTGTAATTTCTTTTTTAATACGTGCCAAAATGTTATTATAAAATTGTAATAATTTGAAGAAATAATGAAAGTGTTTTCATTAGAATGTTTAGAATTTTAGAAACATAGAATTAATTTTGTACCACCAGAAAAATTCTTTTGAAAATATAATATTAATTTATCTTTCACATTTTTTTTCGTGCCTGCCCCCGACCAGAAGCACTCGCTTCGCTCGTGCATCAAATGTCGGGGCAGGCGAATATTGTTTGCAAGAGAGAGACAGAGAAAAAACCAGAGCTTCACGAGTGTCCGCTAGAGGCGTTGAAGCGAGGAGCAAAAGTAAATAAAGATGGCCGGCTGTCAAATGAAACACGATTGCAATTTTCTTAAAAAATAAATTACCCAGCGTACTTTCGACCGTATATAAAGAAAAATAGTATACATTACACGGGCAGAAATTCGAAAGCCCTAAACTACGCGATAATGCCCTCGGCTTCGCCTCGGGCATCATTTCGCGCAGTGCAGGAATTTCGAACTTTCTGCCCTTATAATGTAATATACTATTTCTGTTAATAAGAATGTTCCAAATTTTTTGAATTTTGTTGGTCCAAGTTTGACGGTCTGCATTTTCTAAAAAAAAAAATTACTCAAAAAAATTTGAAACTTACAAAAATTGTTTATATAGTCATTTTGCATATGATCAAAGTTATCTTCATATTAAAAGGTTAAACTTTTTCAAAACTAATTCGGTTTAAGTCAATGATGGCTTATTTTCTTTAGAAAATGGTTCTCTATAACTTGACCGCTCAGATTTATAAAAAAATACACCGTTTTTAAAATATGCTTATTTGTTTAAAAATTTTTTTTAAATTAAATCACTTTTTTTAAACAAATAAGCATATTTTCAAAACGGTGTATTTTTTTATAAATCTGAGCGGTCAAGTTATAAAGAACCATTTTCTGAAGAAAATAAGCCATCATTGACTTAAATCGAATCAGTTTTGAAAACGTTTAACCTTTTAATGTGAAGAAAACTTTGATCATATGCAAAATGACTAAATAAACAATTTTTGAAGGTTTCAAATTTTTTTCTTGAAAATTGATATTTGTTCTTCCAGAAGATACGAGTAACAATAATATTAAAAAATTCTTTAATGTCAATGGTCTGCATACCTGTAAACAACCTCCTTAATGCCTATAAGTAATTCTTATAGTGCAGCAAATATAACCTTTAAAATAAGCCTAAGATCATTAGCGTTCATTACTTTAGAAGTTATTCAAATTTTTGTAAAACATAGAAAATGACGATTTTTTAAAAATATCTGAATAAAATATTGGCCAAATGACTTCTAAAAGATCTTGTTCTTTTCAAAATTTTATCATCTTTCAAAAAATATAAAGAAATAAAATTTAGCAGTTTCCATACATTTTGTGTTTTAAAATGTTTTTCAATCACCTGGAAATGGGTGGTCTCCCAATTTTGACCGGTAGTGTATTTTTTTATTTTTTTTTTTTGGTGGCCAAATTTCCGAGTTACGAATTTTTGAAAATTTGATTTTTAAAAAGTAGACCTTTTTTAAATGGCCTACAACTTGAAAATTATTGGATTTACAAAAATTTCGTTAAAACAAAAAAAAGTTCAGTTTTTCTTCAACTTTTAAATGCTGTTAAAAAAATTTTTAAAAAACATTTTTTTAAAATTGGTATTGATTGATGAATAATAAAACATTTTTTTAAAAAACATAGCTGGCATAATGATAAGAATAGTTTGCAATGTTTCAGAGTGGACTTCTTGAATTTGGATGTGTGTTAAAATAAATTTTTAAACTCGGCGTGCAAGTTTCATGCACACGCTGCACTGTGCACGTTTTTTGAAATTTTTTGAAAAAATTTATAATTTAAAATACGAAAATTTTTTACACTTGAAAATTTGTAAAAATAATTGATTCTAAGAAATTCGAAAATCGACATCACTATAAAGTTTCCTTTGAGAGGAAGCAAAAACGACAGCTAGTAAATAATAAATTTCTAAATACTTTTGACAATAAATAATTTAAAAATATTCTTTCAGTATAAATTTAAAGGTGTTCCTGGCATTATGTATGATTGCTCCAAATTTTGCACAATGGCGACCGTGCGTAGAAGTAAAAAGAGATCTTCACGTTCCCTGCGAATGTAAAATTCCTCTTAAGCGTCAGAAGACAATAGAAATGAAATGCGACAGGGTGGTTTTTTCCCGCGACACTGCAAAAGAATTGAGGGGACAACCTATTGTTGCTTTCAGTCAGAGAAGCGCGGGTTATCGCAATCTACCTGAGGAGGTTATCAATTTTCTTCCATCATTGGAAGAATTGGATCTCTCAGAGAATTTAATTTACAGGTAGGGTTCAATTTTCTTTAAAAAAATTATTTATAAAATAACCATGAAATTTAATTTGGCTGTGCGGTCAATTATATTAAATCAAATACATGTTTAACCCATTAACGACTGAAACATCAGAAATTTGGAGTTATTGTGTTTAATTTAAAATATAATTTTATATTCGAAAAATGCTTCCTGAAAGTAACTAAAGCGTTTCTTTACGAATCTGTAATCAGATTTTTAAAATTCAAAATTTCAGATCCAATATGGCGGAAAAAATTTGAAAAATTTACTAGATCCGCTTGAAGCTTCTTTGGGATCGCTTATTACGAATCTGTAATCAGATTTTTTTAATTCAAAATGGTGGATCTGGTATGTCAGGCAAAAATGTTAAAAATCAAATCTATACATTTTTGTCTGACATACTGGATTCGACATTTTGAATTTTAAAAATCTGATTACAAATTCGTAATCGGCAACCCCAAAAACCCTGAATAACAAGTTTTCAGCAAATTTAGTAAATTAAAAAAAAAAATTCCCTTGAATCCGTCATTTTGTATTTTGAAAATCCAATTGAAAGGCTGGCTGCAATAAGGGGACGAACGCGTGGTTGAAAAGGATAATACCAGTCAGCTAGCAGTGAGCGGCTCAAGGCTTGTCACTGCTACCCGACTGGCAGTATCCCTTCCAAGTCTCGCGTTCGTCCCCTTATTGCAGCCAGCCCTTCAATTGCAGATTCATAATCAGCGACCCCAAAAACCTCAGAGTAACAAGTTGCAAGCGAATCGAGTAAATTTTTAAAATTTTATCGGCCATATTGGATCCGCCATTTTAATTTTTGAAAATCCAATTATAGTTTCGTAACGAACGACCTCAAAAACATACATATAAATACTAAGTTTTATTACATTTCACAGCCGTGGTCTGAATTTGTGCATCATAAAAGAATTTATTAATTTCTTGTTTAATTAGTGCCATTTTAGAATAGACATTTTTTTTTATTTACGCCATTGCAAATTCTGAAAGTTTAATAAGTTTATGCTAATTTATGACCCTTCTTAGTTTTATGTGAAAAAAATGTTTTTAGTAAGAAATAATTGTAATTTTATACACAAAATTCGCCATATTTGATTTTCTGTGTGATAAATTTAAAATAAAGCTTGATTTTAGTCACAGCATTTTTCGTATATAAAATGATATCTTTAAGTTAAACACAAAATTTTAGAGGTTTCAGACGTTAATGGGTTAAGAAAGGTAGACAAAAAAAACAATAGTTTTTAAAAAGTCAACTTTATTTACAGGTTAATGGATCGAATACTCCAAGGTCAGAGTCGAATAAAAAAACTTTGGCTAGAAGGTAACTTTCTGGGGGACAGTCTAAATCCCATTTTTTCTAGTAATGAATTTCATGGAATGTCGAATCTCATGCTATTAAATATTAATAGAAATGGAATAAAAAGTATTGAAGAGGGTATATTTAAAGGTTGCATCAACCTTCAAGAATTGTATCTCGCAAATAACAATTTAACATCTATTCCAACTAAATCTCTCAAGGGTCCAACATCACTGGCAATTCTTTCCCTAGCTGGGAATAATATAGGTAAGTTTTCTTGTTACCAATATTTCTGTCAATAAGAAATTGCTAACACTATAAGTATTTGATTAACTCTTTTTGCTAATATTGCCTGCGAGTCTCTGATATTTAAAAATTTATTACCCCTTTCCTCTGCAGAACATTTAGACATTTAGAAAGTTTCTGCATTCATAGTTGACTATAATTATGTAATTCTTTGCTGCTTAAGAATCTTTCTGCAAAGCGCGTCACAATTGGTTTCTTATATTATTATATTATGGAGGAAATAGGTCTCTGAAGTTGGCGTCATAAACTATTCTTTATTGTTCTTGAAGACCGAAGTGTCACTATTTTCATTCACTTAGAATGTTGCACTTTTCAAGGAACTGTTTGAACCTGAAACTTCTGAAACAGCGGTTTTTTTCTTTTGGTTCCGCAGAAAATAATTTTTTTTGTCGCAGAATGTCGACACAAATTTTGCCGTACAAATCGAAATAAGCGTAAACGGGGTACAATAGTTCACCCCCCTAACAGTGATTGCTGGTACAATTGCTTAAATTTTTATTCATGATGTTAAAAACAAAATGTATAATATTGACATTGCTCTCTAAATCTGCATCAGTGAAATTTGACTGATTTTCAGTGACTCTATTCTCGCGATTTCAATCGGAGAAATTTCACTGAAAGTCATTTAAGAATTACTGAAATATCAGTTATTTTTTACTGATTGTCCAATTAAAAAATTACTGGAAACTTAAGTCACATATATTAAAAATTTCAATTATTTTTTAATCAGTCAATCAGTGAATACTCTCTAAATTTGAACCAGTTCGAAATTTAAAATAAAAAATAATTATTCGAACCGATGCACAATTTTTCGCACCTATAGGCGAGTTGTAACAGGCTGTTTCAACTCACCTAGGTTTACGCAAATTTGTGCGCTTGATCGAATAGAGACTGTTTGGATTTTTGCTAAAGTATATTGTTTTATATTATGGCTTTAAAAGTATTTAGAATTTTACAAATTTTCGTGCAAATCACTTTCATATTTTCCGCAAAGAAAAAAAGTATTAAGGGGCACAACTACCCAGTGAGAAATTGCCAATAGACTTTAATCGGTCCAATATCGGTCCAATATTGGTTGCCGTGCTGGGCGCCGATTGACTCCCAATATTGGACCAATATGGGCTGATGCTTGGGATGTAACGGGTTCGCCAAGCATCGGTTGTTAATATTGGTCCAATATTGGTTGAATATTGGCAACCAAGAGAAAAAATCTTTTTAAATAAATTTTTTTAATTAAATAATAATAATAAAAAATTAATGTTTATAATTTTTGTTTAATATATTTATTTGTTCGTCCCATACTCGATTCAAGACTCGGTAATCTTGATACAATATTCAGTTTCTTTATTGCCGTGTGCACTGTACAATATTAAATATAAATATTTATAAATTATTTAATATTAAAATATTTTTTCTGATAATTTTATAAGTTAAATTATATATTATTTTTTTTCTCGCACAGTGTCAAATTATTATTTTCAAAGTTCAAAAGTTTCGTTTATCTGTAAAATTTTCAGTGAAAAAAATGTTCATTAGGTAGTAGTAAATATTTATGCCTAGTAGTTTTACACTAGGATTAACTGTTTACTGAATATTTCACTGAAAATTTTTCAGATAAAGGAAACTCTTGAACTTTGAAATAATAATTTGACTCTGTGCAAGAAAAAAAATAATATATAATAATTTAACTTTATTGATATGAATCTTATGTAATTAATATAAATATTATACACTAAATAAATATTAATATTTATTTACCAATTGATATCTTAATAACAATAATAATAATACTTATTATATTATTTAATAATAATTAATAATAATAATTTTTAAATAGTATAAAAAATTACTAAAAATTATCAGAAATAATATTTTAATATTAAATAATTTATAAGTATTTATATCTAATATTGTTAAGTGTACACGGTAATAAATAAACTATCAAGATTGATTCAAGCTTGAATAAAGACTGGATGTTGAAGCTCCACTCACGAAGATTGACCGAGTGTTAAATCGAGCATGGGACGAACATTGGTGTCCCATGCTGAACCAATATTGAGTGACAATGATATAAAGACTGCTTCAACTCTGGGTTACCCACGCTGGGCGTTCAAGACTCAGTCAAGTTTCAACCCATCGTCAGCACTGGTCTTTCGCGCCTGGTTAGAGTATATGGAGTGTATCTTGATTGGTATGTCATCTGTGTGTGAGTTGCTGTGATAATTTGTAAATCAAAGTATTTTATTGTCTGCATGAGATGTATATAGCTTTGTTTAACTTTATACGATATAAATGTTATTAATTACTGTATTTTTAATGGTTGTCCTCGTGGTATTTACCTAGGACATAATAAAATATATTCTATTCTATTCTATATCTGCGAATCTATTTAATGACGCGGATATCTCTTGCCTATCATCTGCGAATCTATTTAATGACGCAGATATCTCTCGCCTATCATTGATTTTTCAATGATAGAATTTTTTTGCAGAATGCTATTTTCTAATAGCTGCTGCATTTTTAAATAATTATAATTTATAAATAATAAATTATTTATTATTTACATGAATTATTAAAAATAAATAATTAAACAAAAATTATAAACATTAATTTTTTATTATTATTTAATTAAAAAAATTTATTTAAAAAAATTTTTTCTCTTGGTTGCCAATATTTGGCCAATATTGGACCAATATTAACAACCGATGCTTGGCGAACCCGTTACATCCCAAGCATCAGCCCATATTGGTCCAATATTGGGAGCCTTTATTGGACCGATGATTGGTCTCTTGGCTCCCAATATTGGACCGGTAAGAAATTTCTCACTGGGTAGTGTGAGTGACTGAAAAAACGGTGAATTTTAGGAATTTTTTTCAGGGAAATTATTGCATCTAATTTTTTTTAAAGTTTTGTACATGTATATTTCTATAAATAGTAAATATTTTGTAATTTTTTCAAAGAAAAATATTTTTTTTTAAAGAGTTATTCGATATCTCCTGAGTATCCAAAAAAAAGTTCTCCCACTGCTATGCAGTGATTGCGGCTTTCTCAGTGACTGAAATCAAAAAAACCAAAAAGATTATTAAACTAGAAGATACACGGAAAAAATTAATTTAGTACATTTTACGAAACTAATTTTGGAATAGCGGATACGGAGAGGAGTTTAGTATAAGATAAAACACAATCAATAGTAATATATGATGACTGCGTTTCTTGAAAACTCAAAAAAAATTCTATGGACTTCACAAATGATCGGTTGGACGTTCTAATTCAAGAGTTTTGTAAAACGTTTAGCCTGAAGCGCATGCGCCACGGAAAAAAATATTCACGGAGAAAAAAACGAATAAAGCAGAAAAAAGAATTTCTTAATGTACCAATGAGCTCTCAAGACCATTTTTTCTCGACTTCTATAGGAGATAGATGATTGGTTCGACACATGTGACTGCACTCTACAACGCAATGGTTCGCTTGGATTGGCTTATTTTATTCTGACACTAACTTAACGGAAATACGCATACATATAAACGAATTCTGACGCAACGCACATACAATATAACTCGCACTTGTAGATGAAAGAATTGAGTTTCTTTATATACTAACTGAGGAGATTAAAACTGCGCTTGTGAGAAATGTCAATATACTGAATATTAATTTTAAAAAAAATCATTTTTTTAAAAGTTATACAAAATATTTTATAGTTTTTAAAATAACATTTTTTAATTATAATTGGTTATAAAATCTCTATAAAATTTTTCAATTTTTAAAAAATAATTTTATTCTTAATTTTAAATTATAAATAAATTGCAAAAAAATTTTCAAAATTAAATTCAAACTCAAAAAATTTTAATATTAAATTGTCTAAAATTTGAAGTAATAACAGTTAAAACTAATAAAAATTAGAATTAATTAAAATTTTGAGAAATTAATATATATGTACATTTATTGTCATCGGTAAATATTATGATAAACTATAAAATTTATTGGAATGTAAATTAAAAGAAATTAATAATAATTAAAAGTTTGGATTACAAAATCACATAAAAAATGTTACGAATTTGGAACAATGAAATGTGAAATACGTAAAAGAAAACAATTATCCAAATGTTACCAGCAGGTAAAGCAGTTCTCTTTTTCCTTCCACATATTATCTCTATATACAGCAGACAAGTTAATACCGACGCGACGAGACAAGCTTCAACATATCTATTTATAACGCGACTTTTGGTACACCCCGTATAGAATTTTACGAAACTCTGTGTTCGAGAATTCACGATAGACAGCGAAGTGGAAACTCAAACCACGCGTTTTTAGATTGCACGAAACATTTTTACCATTTTTTGATAAAATGTTCACCAGAAAATACGAAACATTTCTACATTCAAGCTTGTTTTATAAATTACAACACTGGTTGCAGTTTCTCGAAAATTGTTCTGCTTAAAGTACCCGTGTAGAAATTTTGACAGGGGCCTGGCCGGGTCCAGACCGGGCTTCCCCAAACCGGGATGAAACAATAAAACCGGCCGGGGCCATGACGAAAGCCCGGTTTGCCGAGCTCCCAGGCCGGGGCCCGGTCGGGTTTCCTGTTTCATGCGGGGTCAGGGCCCGGGTAGGGCAATTTCTGCACGGGTAGTGAAAGTTTCTGGGTTTTTGAAAAACTTCGTCAAGGAATCTTAAATATCCGCTAGTGCGAAATTAGTTTCGTAAAATCTGCTGAACTTATTTTTTCCGTGTGATAGGACCACCCCAGATAACAATCGTGCGTCGCATTTAAACGCATGTTTCTTGCACTAACTGCGACTTACCAGATGAGTCGGTTCATATACGCATCTTACTATCGTCTGTGACGCTGGTAATAATGCGAGTGTTGTGAACTGCATTTCGTAAGCGCCTGTGATACAAAATGATAAGCATGTTCCGTTCACAAGTGCGACTCGCTAGAAGAGTCAATCCATACGCATTTT